GAAACTCTATAACTAACACACTCTTGTAATCCCACTCTACACCCTCTCAAGTGTTGAACTAGATGTGTCTTCCTCAAGTGCTCGGATACAACCTCTTTCTAGGTTCGTCAATCGATGCTACTCCTCTTTGGACGATCCATGACTTTCGTCACACACTTCTCTCGGTGTACAAGTGTATTACAAAGTGAATCTCATAATAAGTACAATATAAAGTATTTGTTCTCTACAATGGATGAGAACGAATTATAAGCTCACTCACTAAGTTACACAATCCCATAACCCAATTTTACTATGAATGTAAATACAATAAGCTCAATGGTTGTGTGTGTGTAAACAAAGAGAAAATAAAATCAACTAAACTTAATATGAACACTAGCTTAATAAAATGATAATCAAACAATATAAAATATAAAGCTAGATTGAGTTTAGAAAAATTCTCAATAGATCAAGAGTGGAAGGAGAAGGGTTGGATGCTCAAACACCAATAGATGTTCTCCTTAAGCTCTTGTGAAATTGATTTTACAAACTCAAACTCTCAAATGCTTAAAAGCTTCTTAAACAAACTTAAACAACACTTAAACCCTTGTTAAAAATTTGTTAAAACATTTCTTAGATGGCTTAAAGAATGAGAGCAATGGGGTATATATAGCCACCCAAAACCTCAGCCAAAAACCCCAATGGAAAAGACCAAAAAGCCCAAGAATCAGAAATCTGATTCTGTACAAATATAGTCGTTACAATGTTATGGGTCGACTCATCACTGTTCAAGAGTCGACTCATAACTAGTCGTTACAGGCTAAAAACAACTTGTGGGTCGACTCATAAAATTCATGAGTCGACTCATCATGCATGGGTCGACTCATGAATTCATGGGTCGACTCAGCAGAAACAAAACTAGTTTTCCAGCACACTTCATGAGTCGACTTATGACAGGCATGAGTCGACTCAACCTGATGGGTCAACTCATGATGTTATGAGTCGTTTTCAGAACCAAAATTTAAACTACACAACAGTTTATAAGTCGACTCAACACTGTTCATGAGTCGACTCATGACATGCACACAGCCTGTTTTAAACAGTACATGTCAACATAAAACAGGGTTTAATAATATCAAATAAATTCAGAAAAATGTAAAACTTTGGAAAATAATTATAGACATGATAATAAACATGCTACAGAAACTGGTTTTCAAAAAAGACTTCCCAAATGTAAAATATCATTATTTTGTAAGGAGGTCCAAAACATAGAAATGTAAACATATGAATTTTGACATTTTGCCTAAACCATATTTTGAAACTTCACAAAATGATTGTATAGACTTGAAGAAAGATGTAAACTATTGTTATAAGGTCTATAAACAATGAATATATTATTTTATCAAAATACACATATAATGCACTAAAACATGATTTCATTGAACTAAATAAAATTGATATTGATGAAATCATATATATATGCATATAATTATGAAACAAGAAATGTATTTTTTGAAAACTATCAAACCAAAACATATATGTATATATATAACTATATATATAGAAAACCAAAACGTGTATGTGTGTATATGATTGAGCTTAAAGTACTAACACACATAATATAAACTCCTAAACTAAATTACTCAAGCTTGATGAAGGTCTTCAATGAGCTCAACTTGGACACTTATGGATGAAGCTTGAACTTGGATCTTTAACTTGAATTGTGTAGGCTTCAACCACTATTCCACCAACCTCCATTGGATATCATCGTTGAAGCGCAATTCCATCCATCCTCCAACATATTGTTTGCCTAGAATAAATATAAAACACAAACACTAGATAAAAAATATTAGATGTAAATTATTTGTTAAATCATCATCAAAACAAGAAGGCCAATAATATTTATTAGGACATTTTGATAGGGCGAGCAATCTCTATACTTATTTATCCATGCTTATTTATAGGGGGAGCTTTCACTCTCTTTATTCTTTTATTTTCCCCTTTTTGATGTTGTCAAAGGGGGTGAAATATTATGAGTATGAATTTCTTGTTTATATGTATGATAATTATAATTTGTATATTCATTTCCTCTCATGCATATATCTCTTTTTGTAAATTATTTATCATCATAAAAAATGGGGAAATTGTTGGGTCCTTTTATTTTGATGATGATTAACAAACAAATTATAACTAATGTTGTTTGTCTAGTATTTGTGTTTTATATTTATTTTAGGTAAACAACATGTTAGAGGTTGGTTGGATTGCGCCCTCACGATGATATCAAAAGGAGGTTGACGGAATATCGGAGTGAAGCCAATACATTCAAGTCAAGTCCAAGTTTAAGCTTCATCCACAATCAAGACGAGCTTCATGAAGATCAATTGCCTTGGGTATATTAGTTTAGGTTTATGTTTTGTATGCTTATGCTTTAAGCTCAAATGGTGCACGTACACATTTTCTTGATTTATTGACTATTATACATCCATTTGAGATCATAACGTGTTTTAAGATTATTGACTTAATATAACTAGTTTACATCTTTTAAAAAGTCTATTAATCCATTTAAAAGAATTTTCAAACTTGTTTAAACTAGTTTTATCAAAATCAAGTTTTAATAAGTTCATGTTCGTGCATGTTTTTGTAAAATAGATGAGTTTTCACAATCGGGAAATGAAATTTAAAAAATTTCTTCATTTACATATTTATATTCATATATACAAATATTTTCCCAATTTTTATTATTTTTAGAGTTGTTTTGTTATTTTCAATTGAATTTACAAAAATAAGTTTTTAGTAGTTTTTCAAAAACTATAATATCTATGTTCAAATAATTATTTCACACAAATAGGAAGTGATATGTAAGAAATTATTTCTCTAACTTGTTTATCATCATGTTTAGAAACTTCCCTCAAATTTTCATAATTTTTGGAGTTGATTTACTATTTTCAATTGATTTTACAAACCCAGATACATAAAAATTTTAGAATCTGCCAAAACTGTTCAACGGTCGACTTCATCAGTCAACTAATGACATCATTAGTCGACTAATGACATGTTTTTAGCCTATAATGGCTAGCTTTCCAGATTTTATCTTTTTATAATTTTTTCTTGGATTTTTAATGGTTTTTGGGGTTGTTTCATAAGTCTATAAATACCCCATGCCCTCATACTTCTAAACTATACAAGATAATTGTTTAAATAAGTTTAAGGGTGTTTTGTGTTTGTTTAAAAGAGTCACTAGTAGAAAATAACGTATCCTAGATGGATTATTCTAGACAGAATTTTTTTCATCTAGTTTGCTAAACTAGACGGAAAATTTTCGTCTAGAGTAATCCGTCTAGGATAAAACATGCTAGACGGAAATGTCCGTCTAAGATAGCAAAGTAGACGGTTTATTTTTTTATTTTTTTTAAAAATTTATCAAGTATCCTAGACGGGAATTTTTGTCTAGGATGTGTCCTTGACGAAAATTTCCGTCTAGGATACTTAGACCATTTAAAAAAAATTGGTCCATTAAAACTCCTCCCGCCCTCCTTTCCCCCCAAAATCGAAAATTTCTTTCCCCCAAAATAAAAAATTTTAGGAACCCCCCAACCCCCTCCCCCATCCTTCAATTTCAGGAACCCCCTCAATCCTCAACTTCAAGCTCTCCCCCTCATCTTCGATCATCTGAGACATCATCACCAACAAAATCCCTGCCGCCGACCGCCGCGGGCGTCCCCCCCCACCTCCTCGGATGGCCAAGATGATCTCTTTGTGGTCATGGTCGGCGTAGAAGATGTAGGTGGGGGGGGGGGGCAGTTGCCGTGGGTTTGCTCGTAGGTGACGCGCTTTGACGAGCCACGAGGGTTCATCTGGTAGCCGCGGGGCTGAGGGGGTACCTAGGGTTCACGAGGTCGGGCTCGTAGATGGTGAGGATTGCAGCGATAGAGGCGGGGGGATCGGGGCAAACTCCTCGGTGGTGTGCAAGGGGGGCACGTGTCGGAGTCGTAGGCGCCGATGTAGGTCAGGCGCTTCTAGGCCCAGCGTGAAAAGCCGAGCAGACGACCCGCACTACAAGGCCGCAGGAGACTTACTCGACCTCTTGAAGAGATCTTGAGGGATCTTAACAAGAGAGTCCCCGACAGCCTCATCAAGAACAATTCCATCTTGTGGTATTTGATCTCCCTCTCTCTTCCGTTGAGCGCGTGCTTTTTTTGTGTTGATCTGATTGCTTATGTGCAAAATTTATGCGTGCTTGGTAAACTGCTAGTGTGGCTATCTTGTAGAGTCTGCTTTGGTTGTGTAGTGCTTGATTTTTTTGGATATTTGCATGCCAATTGTGCGTGCTTGGTGCTTGTGAAAATGCCCGGTCTTTTCTTTGTCCATCTAAGGGGTATTGGATGGAGGTGATCTCAGAGGTGAGAAGTTAATGAGGTGTTTCATTTGATTTTATTTTACATCTTGTGAATTGTTTTCGCAGCTGTTTATAGCCTTCTCTTCACGCTCCTACTCTTGTGCGTGTGTGCGTAAGAACTTATGTTTCCTTAGAACTCAGTGCTAATTCTTTGGCAATCAGTTCTGTTTAAATTATTTTTGAAATCTGGTGTTGTGCACATACATAAAAAACTTGTGGTTCACTTTAGAGTTTCAGAACATCTAGGAAGAGTGGATTTCACAAAGCTGGTTTTAGAACGAGAGATCTAAACAAGACCAAAGCGAGGCGATTTCACTGAAGCCTGAGGACCGATGACGAAACTTTGGTGGGATTTCTGGACTTATTGTCATTTTTCTCCAGATATTAATCAGAACGAGAGATCGTGAGCAGTTTAGTTTGCAGAACGAGAGGTTGAAGAAAGCCAAAAATGGAGCGGCCTGCTTCTTTGGATGAATACGAGAAGCTCGTCATCCGCATGAATACTCCTCGGTAATTTCATAGCCATTGTAAATAATTTATGTAAAAGTTTGTAAACAATTTATGTATCTCTCTATTATTTTGGTAAATATATTATTTGAATATAATTAGATTTGATATTAGAATATAATTAGATTGTGTTGGACATGAATATAATTTTTTGTTGTTCAATATTGTGTATATGAACCTAAAGTAAATTCTGCAAAAAACAAAAAAAAATACTGTAGTATAGCATCCTAGACGGAATTTTCATCTAGGATGCTCAAAATTCTGTCTAGGATGCTTTTAAAAAAAATAAAATAAGCCTCCTAGACGGAATTTCCGTCTAGGATGAGTATCCTAGACAGAATTTTCATCTAAGATATCCATCCTAGACGGAAATTTTTTCCATCTAGGATGGATATCCTAGACGGAAATTTTTTCCATCTAGGATGGATATCCTAGATGGAAATTCCGTCTAGGATGTATTCTAGACGGTTTTGAATTCCGTTTAGAATAATCCGTCTAGGATGTATTCTAGACGGAATTTCCTTCTAGAAATCCTAGACGGAAACTTCCTAGACGCGTATTCTAGACGGAATTCCGTCTAGGATACTCATCTTAGACGGAATTCTGATTTTTCTAGTCAGAATTTTCCGTCTAGGATGCCTCATTTTTTACTTGTGAGTGTTTACAAGATTAGTTTTGTGAAGAAATTTTCACAAGGGCTTGAGGAGATCATCAATTGTGTTTGGACATTTAACTCATCTCCTCTCTCTCTTGTCATCATAGAGAAGTTTTTCTAAACTCATTCTAGCTATTTATTGTTTTGTTTATAATTTCCATAAGCTAGATTTATATTGAGTTTAGTTTGTCTTATTTAATCTCTTTGTTACACCCACACCCACATTGAGCTTATTGTATTTACATACATAGTATAATTTGGGGTTGTGGGTTAGTGACTTAGAGAGTGAGCTTATATTGTATTCTCACCTTGTTTAGAGAACAAATCATTTGTTGTTAGCGAGCTTAATTATGAGGATTCACTTTGTATTGCACAAATACACTAAGAGGAGTGTAGATGTGAGAGATGTGGTCGGTCTCAAGAGGAGTGTGGTCGGAGGTAATGCCTAGAGGGTGGGTCATAATTCCGAGAACTTGAGGGAGACACGTGAAAGGCCAACACTTGAGTTAGGATTTGTGTAGTTACATTGTGAGATTGTGAACGTTGATCGGTGAGCGTTGAAAACCGATATTGTGTGGTGTAAACGTTTTCGGTTGATCATTGAAAATCGGTGTGATAGTGGATTTCTCCTCGGGAGTGGGGAGTGGAGACGTAGGGCAGAAGGTCCAAACTCTGTGATTATATTGTGTGTTTGCATTGTTTATATTACCCTATCACAATTGTATCTTTTGTTTATCTTGTTTCACCCTTGTTTATATTGTTTATCCTTGCATATAATTATTGCATATCATTCTTGCTAGGATATTTGTTAATTAGTTTTAATTTGATATAAATCGGATTAGATTAGCATAAACCCTATTCAACCCCCTCTAGGTTTCCTTCCTAGTGGTATTAGGGTGCTTTCAATTGGTATCTGAGCACTTTCAATTGATATCAAAGCTTGGTGCTCTTTTATTTAAGGTTTAATCGCCTTGAGTTAAAGATCCAAGTTATCTTTTTATGCTAATCTAGTTTTGAGATTTATTGTTATCTTGCTTGCATACATATAGATATTATGGATATGAATAGTGCATCTTGTTTAGGCTATGATCCTAGTGGTTCTCCAAAATATAGAAACTTCCCTTACGATCATTTAGCCAAATTTTGTTTTGATTTAAAGAGTGTTTCACATTTGCAAAATAATTTTAAAAGACCATCCATGTTTGCAAATGTTTCCCGTGCATACACATGTGGTCAACAAAAACAAATATGTCGCTTTCATTGCACATATTACAATCGAAAGGGTCATTTGAGTGATTTTTGTTATGACCGTGTCCGTTTATTAAATGAGCCCGAAAGGGTTCATAACCCTAAAGCATTGAGCTTAAATGATAGGGGTCATGTCCCTAGACTCTTAGGTATCAAGAGTAATTGTGTACCAAAATTTGTTTGATCTTTAAGAACAAATTTTTTTGTTTCATGTTCTTAAAGAAGTTTTTTTAGTTTTTCAAATCCATAGTTCATGATTCTTGTATGTTTCAAAATCTTAATTTGAACTATGGAGAGTTTGGTTTGATATGCAGTTTTAGATTCATTGTAAATCACTTATATGATAACTTTTATGTGTTTGTGCTTATGGATCATCTATTTGTGCTTTATAATGTATTCTTTATATGGTTTGATCAAAATTTTCAAAGAAAAGTTGCTTTCTTGATCAAACATATTTTTATATATATACTTTGTTTTGATGAGAGCTTTGTGTTTATATAACCCCCCGGGCCCCCCCAGGTTTATTAGGTGTTTATTCCCAAATCTTGTTTACCAGGTGCTACAAATTTTTATATGGGTTAGAACAAGCTCAAGAGCTTGATGTATTTCCTCTCTTGCTTTATATGGTTTACTTTTATGGATTTCATTTGATTTATGATTTCATTTGAGTGATTTTTTTTCATTTGAAAACATTTTACATGATTCTCATGTTCTTTTTTTTTTTTGGTTTCATAATCTACTTTTATACATGACTTTTATGTTTGTATAATGAGACATTATTTCATAATGATATATCAATATGTGCTCTTATTATCTTTTTGTATGTGAGTTATACCTAGCATGTTTTTCTATATCTATGTTTGCTCACATATGTATGCATTAGTATTCATTGCATATATTCATTAAGGCATTTTGATAGGGAGAGCAATCCCTATACTTATTTTATACTCACCCGTGTTTATTTGTAGGGGAAGCTTTCACTCTCTTTATTCTTTTGTTTTCCCCTTTTTGATGTTGTCAAAAGGGGAGAAATATTATGAGTATGAATTTCTTATTTACTAGTATTTAAACCCGTGCAAAGCACGGTTTCTAAAAGATTTTCTGAAAATAGTAAACATGTTACCAAAATAAAATATTTTGCTTTAGATATGAAGTATATGGGTACTATTTGTTTTTTTATTATTCGATATCGGATTTCAAGGATATAATAGCTTGTTCCTGCTCCTAATTAGTATGAAAGAACAACGATATGATGAATGTCCCTTCATCACACAAATGAAAGAAAGAAAAATCCGAGGCATATTTACATTTGGTACTGCTGATTATTTATCCCCATCTGGTTCTCTAGCAGCGAAGCCTTCAGAGCAAGGAACAACCTCATTTCAGGAATTCAAGTAAAGTATCCGTACAGCTTAAGGCACGAAAACTACATAACATTTATCTTCTTAACAAAGATATGTTGTTTTTAAGTTTTACCAATTTTTCACAGCAAAATGCATAGTATAGATCAAATAAAGATTATAAATAGCGTTACCCAAGCAAGGAGCCTCACTCTCACAATACTTCAAGAAAAAACACCGATGATATTTGTAAAATTCTCTGATATACAATCACATTCCAAAACCTTAACTCAATTACAGAATTTCCTTTGTCTCAAAGAAAAGAAAAGAAAAATATTACAGAATTACCACGACTCAAAAGGCATTATATTTCCTATCTCAAAAATTATTGTAATATCCTCCAAAATGAATTACCCCGGAACCATATGATCCAACAAACCGGACACTATTTCATTGTATACATACCATTTCTTTTTTTTCCCCGACACTTACAAAAGAGAAATTGTGATAACAATGGGGGAAATAAGATATAATAAATCTAAATCTAAAATTTTAGCACTCTAAACAAAAACATGAACGAAGCAAAGAAAAATCGCATTGCTTCAGTGCATAAAACAATCTTTGAGGTATGGATGTGCAAAATTCACATACCGTTCCCACAAATGCCTATACCTGCTGATTGCCAACTTCAGCCATGGCTTCATATTCCCATTGAAGTGCACAACTGCAGCACTCTCTATTAATCTATCATCAATCTCCAAGTCATAGCCTAAACCAAGCACATGCATCTTCTATCCAATGGCTCGACTAAACCATAGAATGTTAGAAGCCCAGCGGGAAGCGTGCCAGTTTTCCAAAGCATTCTGTCAGCATTCTGCTCTTGCCAGTTGTGATATCGAGATGTTACATTAGCTCTCTTCCATGCTATCAGATCGAAAATATTCATCCCGATTGCCCATCCACAAGCTTGAGGATCAAACTTAGCGCTAATCCTCGTATCTGAGAAATTAAGATACCTGTAGAACCGATGAAATCCTTCAAGGCAAGTCTCTACAGCTCCATTCACATTACCATGCAAATCTAGCGAAAACAGAACAGTTAAATCCTTTTGGACAACAACATCATCATCGAGAAGCACTACTTTTTCAAGAGAAGGATGTATTTCTGGGAGGTAGAATCTCAAGTGGTTCAGCAAGGACACAAATTTGGGGTTCCTAAACTTTGCTTCATCATTTTGATCATTACCTCCAAAGTAGTTCATTTAGTACTTGAAATTTATATGCGATCAAGTTTGATTCATTAGTTCATTTAGTATTGTTTAAATAATTCCAGTGTTTGGCTTATAAATGAATATAATTTAACCAAAGGTATGTTTGATTTTTTATAAACTAACATTGTTAAACATAGTAAATGATCTTGGTATCATGTTAAACATAATAAATGATATATTTGAACATTGTTAAAAATGATAAATGAGCATAACAAATAAAACTCAGTATACACTGAATTTTTGTGTGATAAGAGCAACACAACTTACATAACTTTCGGTTCAAATAAATTAAAAAGAACAAAATTAAAAACTAATCTATGTTAATTTATTTTAATCCATTGACATTCTTAAGCATAATACAAAAAATAACAAACAACTTATTTATCCTTTCTTCAATATCCATTGCACAAATGAAATATTCTTTATGTAAAAGTAGATCAAATAGAAGAAAATGAAACCAAAAGGACTGGATCTAGCTCAGGATGTTCTTAATTATTCAAAAGCTAATATACTTGTACAATCTAATTTCCAATTCTACGAAAACATACTTACCAATTGTCTGACACCATATGGCTCAACTGCATATATTTGTATACATAATGGTAGATCCATGATAGCGTTTAAAGTCTCATAATTACATAGACCACAAAGACTCGCAAATTACTTGCCATAAGAATATACTAAGACAACAGACAAAATCAATCACGACATCTCAAATTAAACAGCTACCTCATGTTATTCCAAAATTCAAATGCAATGACAAATGTTTAGTCTTTGTGGTCATGTAAGTGAAGCTTAAACAAATGTTTACACACATGTCTTAGTTGTAACTGGGATTTTATTAGATTTGACAGTTTTGGACATGGTATTTACAATCACAGAAGGGAGAAATTTGACATTAAAGTAATTAATTTCAAGTCAGAACACATCATTGAAATCCGCTAAAACCTCACATTCATTAAGGAGGTAAAATGAAAATTTGACTCTCTAAAACATTTAAATTTCATAAATATCATAACTATATCATTTGCTTGCCCTCAGTTTTGATTGCTTTGGTTCTATTGTTTCTTTCTGGTGAGTAAAGCACAGAGAAATGTCCTTAGCAAGCAACATGAATCTCTTATGAATTTATAGCATGCTGTGTATTTCTACTTTTGTTCTTAACATTTCTTGCATTTTTGCAAGCCAGTAGGAACCATTGCAAGCAGATCTTTGCCACCTAGTAATAACCTGCAATGTACTAATCCATACAATTAAATGGCAAACCACTACAGTCCATGTAATGTATGACATCTAAAGCATTCACAGTAAAAAATTTAATATCGCAAATACACTGCATGCTATAAATTCATAAGAGATTCGTATTGCTTGGTAGGGACAATTCTCTACTCCTTACTCACCACAAAATAGAGAATAAAACCAAAGCAATCAAAACTGAGGGCAAACAAATGTCATACTTATGAAATTTGATGCGGTCAACTACCTATGAAAAAAAAATTGCGTATTAATTTAAGGATCATAAGATGAAATATGATTATGTAATAAAAAAAATTTGAAATAGATTGCAACATTGAGTAGAAATTAAATTATGAAATCTAATCAGAAATTAAAATAGGAAATTTGATTATTACTAATTTAAGGATAAAGATTAAAAGATATAATTTGAGGAAATTTAATTGAAATTTATGGATTAGAATATGAAATTTGATAAGAGACTTAAAGAAGTAAATATGAGGAATTAAAATTTGAAAATTAAGAAGATGAGGTATTAACATGACGGAATTGATGTAGGTATACCTGGATTTAGATGCTTTGATCCCATGAATCACTGAGATAACTGGAAATTGTTGTAAAGAATGTGGAATTTGATTGTAGAGATCTCTCAAAAATATAGCGCTGGCGATCACGAAGGTTCTGGTGACCAAAATATATGGGTAGTTTGAGATCCGTGAGAGTGCTGACCCACCGCGGTCGGTGGTTCTGTCCCCTTACCTCCTTTCTATTTATCTCTGGCTTTTATCACTCATCCCCTTCTTCCCCCATTTTCCCAATAAATTATTTCTAAAAAAACTGTAATTTTTCTAGTAATATATAATTAGGGTTTGACCTTCGATTTGTTCGATCTCGGAAGCGATTCAATCGATGGAACCCGATTCTTGGACTCGATTGTCTGCTGCATCGAAGCGCCATCAATCTGCTCTTCAATCGCGATACGGTGAGTCCTCGATGAAACCCTAGTTCGTGAGGTTGATTGGGGATTTGAGTGGTTGTTTGATGGGGCTTTTGGTGTTCAGATCTGTACCTAGGGTTTGAAGAAGTCGATGGAGGCGATGAGGAGCCTCGAGCGGAGTTCTTCGCTTGCCCGTTTTGTTCCGAGGATTTCGATATCATTGGGCTTTGTTGTCATATTAATGATGAACATCCAGTTGAGGCGAAGAATGGGGTAAAAATTTGTTATTTGTGTTGGAAGGCCCTTCGTTCATCTTGTGTGAGAGAGAGAGAGAACGTGGGGACGTGGGGGGAGAGAGAACGTGGGGTGGGGGGATGAGGTTCTGGTGGTTTTTCAAAAAAAAAATAGTATGAGGGTATGACGTGGCCACTTTTGATTGGTCCACTTAAGATTTACTGTTCATTAGACCTTTTTGATTGTTCTCCTTTAGTAATGAAGAAGTAGATATACATGATAATTATAATTTGTATATTCATTTCCTCTCATGCATATATCTCTTTTTGTAAATTGTTTGTCATCATAAAAAACAGGGAGATTGTTGGGTCCTTTTGTTTTGATGATGATTAACAAATAATTTATAACTAATGTTGTTTGTCTAGTGTTTGTGTTTTGAATTTATTCTAGGCAAATAACATGTTAGAGGTTGGTTGGATTGCGCTCTCATGATGATATCAAAAGGAGGTTAGCGGAATATCAGAGTGAAGCCAATGCATTCAAGTCAAGTTCAAGTTCAAGCTCCATCCACAATCAAGACGAGCTTAATGAAGATCAATTGCCTTGGGTATATTAGTTTATGATTATATTTTGTATGCTTATGCTTTAAGCTCAAATGGTGCACGTACATGTTTTCTTGATTTATTGACTATTATACATCCATTTGAGATAATAATGTGTTTTCGGATTATTGAATTAATATAACTAGTTTACATCTTTTAAAAAGTCTATTAATCCATTTAAAATAAGTTTCAAACTTGTTTGAACTCGTTTTATCAAAATCAAGTTTTAATAAGTTCATGTCCGTGCATGTTTTTGTAAAACAGATGAGTTTTCACAATTAGGAAATGAAATTTTAAAAATTTCTTTGTTTACATGTTTATATTCATATATACAAACATTTTCCCAATTTTTATTATTTTTGGAGTTGTTTTATTATTTTCAATTGAATTTATAAAAACAAGTTTTTAGTAGTTTTTCAGAATCTGTAATATCTGTGTTCAAATAATTATTTCTCATAACTGGGAAGTGATATTTAAGAAATTATTTCTCTATCATGTTTAGAAACTTCACTTAAAATTTCATAATTTTTGGAGTTGAGTTATAATTTTTAATTGATTTTACAAAACTAGATACGTAAAAATTCCTGAATCTGCCAAAACTGTTCAACGGTCGACTTCATCAGTCGACTGATGACATCATCAGTTGACTGATGACATGTTTTCAGCCTATAATAGCTAGTTTTCTAGATTTTATATTTTTTAGATTTTTCTTGGATTTTTAATGGTTTTTGGGGTTGTTTCATAAGCCTATAAATACCCCTTGCCCTCATACTTCTAAACTATCCAAGAGAATTGTTTAAACAAATTTAAGGGTGTTTTTTGTTTATTTAAAAGAGTGTTTACAAGATTTGTTTTGTGAAGAAATTTTCACAAGGGCTTGAGGAGATCATCAATTGTGTTTGGGCATTCAACTCATCTCCCTCTCTCTCTTGTCATCATAGAGAAGTTTATCTAAACTCATTCTAGCTATTTATTGTTTTGTTTATAATTTTATAAGCTAGATTTATATTGAGTTTAGTTTGTCTTATTTAATCTCTTTGTTACATACACCCATATTGAGCTTATTGTATTTACATACATAGTATAATCTGGGGTTGTGTGTTAGTGACTTAGAGAGTGAGCTTATATTGTGTTCTCACCTTATTTAGAGAACAAATCATTTATTGTTAGCGAGCTTAATTGTGAGGATTCACTTTGTATTGCACAAATACACCAAGAGGAGTGTAGAGGTAAGAGACGTGGTCGGTCCCAAGAGGAGTGGGGTCGGTGGTAATGCCTAGAGGTAGGTCATAATTCTGAGCACTTGAGGGGGACACGTGAGAGGCCAACACTTGAGGTGGGATTTGTGTAGTTACATTGTGAGATTGTGAATGTTGATCGGTGAACGTTGAAAACCGATATTGTGTGGTGTAAACGTTTTTGGGTGATCGTTAAAAACCCGGTGTGATAGTGGATCTCTCATCGGGAGTAGAGAGCGGAGACGTAGAACGGAAGGTCCGAACTCTGTGATCATATTGTGTGTTTGCATTGTTTATATTACCCTATCACAATTGTATCTTTTGTTTATCTTTTTTTACCATTGTTTATATTGTTTATCCTTGTATATAATTATTGCATATCATTCTTGCTAGGATATTTGTTAATTAGTTTTAATTTAACATAAATCAGATTAGATTAGCATAAACCCTATTTACTCCCCTCTAGGGTTCCTTCCTAGTGGTATTAGGGTGCTTTCAATTGGTATCAGAGCACTTTCACTAACCTTCTCGGATAGAATCATTACTATCACCTCGTTCAGCTTCAACTTCTTCTTCCCCACCGAGTTGTTGATTGTGGTCGCGTAACCTGCCCAACTATCCGGCAACTGTGATAGTATTAATAGGGCCTGCACTTCATCATCAAACGTGATGTCTACTGAGATGAGTTGATCAACAATCATATTAAACTCAATGAGATGCATCATGAAGGAACATCCTTCTGCCATC